ATATCACGAAACTGATGCATCCCAAAACCAGTACACATAAAGTGCACAAACATAACACAAAATTGTCCACATACATCAGAGGTGTTACTTTGAAATTGTTGAGTGTTGTAAAATAAGGTTTTACAGTTTTTTCTATAGTGGGCGAGATGCTGTGGGATGATAGGTGGTAACCCGTAGCTGTCGAAATAGTGTCCGACGCCGTCCCGTCCGACGTACATAGCGACCCAATGTGTTCCAGGTTTTGTATGGTCGTCAGTATTAGCGATAATAGCAGCAGGTTTACCCCAAAACGTAGGTATCTCGTCCGCAGCATAAACGCCTATAGTATCGCAGGGTATGTTTTGTAAAGCAGCCCATAATTGCAAACTATTCATAGCCACCAAGAATTTTCAAGAGAATTATTTTCTTCTTCTTTTGTATTATGACTATTATCGCGGTTATACCACGTCATAGAAAACGATAGAGATGGAGGCGACAATGGTGTTGACAAAGATGCAGAATCCAGAAAGGCGTAATCTTTAATCCACTTTCTTATCCGCAATGCATTATTTAAAGCACATGTATATTCCCGATTATTTGTCTTGATTTTTATACTATGGATGAGGCACGTTTGCTTTAACTGCGGTAATTGATGAAATGGTGGACATTTCTCCTCTTCTTCTAAATTTATAATGTTTCTACTTGTAATACGATGGAGAAAAGCTGATTTATCTCGGCCTCTTATGAATATTCGGTTCGTAAATTGTGCAATTGTCCTCAAATATCGACATAAGTTTTTGTATGGTGTTTCTCCTTCAAACCATTCAATACCATGGAAATTTTTACTGAGCCAATTGTTTTGAACGGGTTGATAGCTCGGTAAAGGAGTATGGTTGTGCAATAATCCAATGAGCGCAATGGTCGTTATTTATGGAGACAATAGCAACTTCTTTTGGAAAAAAATCTTCCTCCGTATTCTTGAATCCTTGTATATCAATAACGATATTCATATTTATAATTGTAAATGCGAGAAAGATATATATATATGAATAACTGGTAGTAATAGTGTAGTGTATACACTCAAGAACTAGTGCCGACTGATGATTGAAGTTATATGCTCATAACGTTTAAGCTTTTCGTTTCTATAATATCCGTTCCTATAATGCTTGTTCCCGAAGTTCTTTTTCCTATAATGCCTATATTAGTATCAAGTTTCATCTGCGTTGAATATTTGCATAGCCTACTACGAATTCTCTCTCTCTCTCTCTCGTTCTTAACCACCATAGTCTACAATCACCTGTCTTGATGCATCAATCTCCATAATATCAGGAGACGCGGTAGCGTCTCTGGCCATGTTCAAAAACTCTGAGACGCTATCAGGAGACGCGGTAGCGTCTCCGGCCATGTTCAAAAACTCTGAGACGCTACAAGTCTCTTATCCCGAACCAACAAAGTCCATTCTTGGGAGGTGCATAATTACTAAAATATAAAAAATTTTGAATCGAACGTTATATATCCTAAAAGGCGGCATCGCCACGAGTAATTTGAGCCAAAAAAATTTTAAATCGGTCAAGCCGTTCTGGAGATATAAGCGGTCGAAAAGTGGTGATTTTAATGAAAAATTAAGGAACGTCTCCTTCTTCTCCTTCTCCTTCTTCTCTGTCCGCATTTTTAATCTTTCCAACATCCTTTCTCACCTTTCACTCGCACCTCCACCATCTTTGGCCCAACGAACCTTCTCCACTCGCCCCTCCCCCTCCCTCTACCACCCACTCCCGCCATCCCTCTTTCGCCGTAATTTACACTTTCTCGTTATTATAACTTTTTAACATCCTCTCTCACCTTTCACTCGCACCTCCACCATCTTCGGCCCACAGGACCTCCTCCACCCGCTCCTCCCCCTCCCCCTACCACCCACTCCCGCCATCCCTCTCTTTCGCCGTAATTTACACTTTCTCGTTATTACAACTTTTTAACTTCCTCTCTCATCTTTCACTCGCACCTCCACCATCTTCGATATTACTATGAAAAGCAACTGTTTTACATTTATTTAAAAATTTTATTTTATATATGCGATTACGTTTGACGAATAAAGAATAAATGTGTAAAATTGACGCGTTAATATTACACGGTTAGTGAAAGCAGCCTTGGGGATTGTTTTGATGTGCAAGGGCGGACACGGGTCGCACGTCACCCCCTCACCCGGCTCACCGATAATAAACCGTGCTGTTATCATTTAAATATGTTATTGTTTTAAGTTCTACTGACTGCTGACCGATATGACGCATATTTAAAACTATCGCAGAACTATCAAGAGTTAAATAGTATTAATATATTACCACGAAAAGTAACTGATTAATAATTATAGTTGCTAGTACAAAATGAACATACGTAAAGTGTATGTAACTTTCGGCCGATTTTCGAATCGCCTCCGCTTTCCCCTGCACCCCTCATCTCATTAAATACGTATATATTTTAAATAAAATTATTTTAAATACTCCCGACTGCTAACTGGTATGATATTTAAACCAATCGACTGTCATGAGACATTTTGACTGCACGCGGAGCGTTGAGGGGGACAGTGCAACTTTTGGTTAATCATTTACTTCTAGTTATTATATATTGACCGATATTCTAATTTTTAATTGTGTCTAAAGCGGCTAAGTATTTTATTGTATTCTTTTTCTTTAGAAATTCACATTATAATTTTTATGTACTTACGAATTGACTCTCATTGTCCTTCACCTTGTTTTAATTATTAAATTGTAATATATTACCACGAAAAGTAACTGATTATTAATTATTAAAGTTGCCAATACAAAGTGGACATACGTAAATTGTATTCGACTGTCATGGGACATTTCGACTACCCGCAGAGCGGTGAGGGGGACAATGCAACATTTGGTTGATTTTCGAATCGCCTCCGTCTATATTTCGCTGTCCCTCTCACATCAACGCACCGCGCATAATATATTACCAGGAAAAATTACCGTTTTTCATTTATTTAATAATTTTGACTTTTTTGTTTTATAATATGCAATCGCGTTAACGAAAAAAAATTAATATGTTGTTATAAATCTGACGTGTCAATATTAGACGGTTAGTGAAAGCAGCCTTGGGGATTGTTATCAAAACAACACATCAAATGGAAGGGCGAATGCGAGTCGCACGTCCCCCCCGCGCCAGGCTCACCGATAAACCGTGCAGTCATCATTTAAATACATATTAAATAAAATTATTATTTTAAATACTACCGACTGCTGACCGATATGACGTACATATATTTAAAACTATCGCAGTACTATCACGAGTTAAATTGTTAATATATTACCACGAAAAGTAACTGATTATTAATTAAAGTGGCTAGTACAAAGTGAATATACAAAAAGTGTACGTAACTTTCGGCCGATTTTCGAATCGCCTCCGCTTTCCGCTGTACCCCTCACCACATATTTAATACATATTAAATACATATATACATATTTGTAATATATATTTTAAATAATAAAATTATTTTAAATACTCCCGACTGTTGACTGGTATAAAAAACATTAAATAAGCTTTGAAAACTTATTTAAAATAAAAATTACCATTTTTATTAAAACATCTGTTTTAAATAACTTAATTTTTTAAAAATGAAAGTGGTAAAGAACGTTTAATCCTTTACAGAATTAAATTTAAAGAGTTAATTACATAACTGGTACTCAGTCCTTCATTTTTTAAATAGTTTTTTATAGGCTATAGTAATTTGACTTTAAATTATTTAAAACAGTGAAATCTAACCAATTAGTATTTTATCGCTTTGAAATGTGATTTGAACAGCACGAATCGTTTAATTAATATGATAATGTAATAATATAATGCACCGAAGATATACCTACGATATCACAATAAATAAAAATATATTGTCCGAAGTCGACACGTTAATTAATACGCCTCCGCCTCGCTTTCGCTATCCCCCTCACCTCACCGCTCCGCGCGTAGAACAATGACATTCGATCATCGTGGAGCATTTGGACTGCACGTGGTGAGATGAGGAGGGGAGGGTTGGGCAAATGCAACTTTCAGCTGATTTTCGAATCGCCTTCGTCTAGCTTTCGCTGTTCCCCTCACCTCACCGCACCGAGCGCAGAACAATACCATTCGACTGTCATGGGACATTTCGACTGCACGCGGAGCGGTGAGGAGGAAAATGCAATTTTTGGCTGATAACATATTGCGGAAATTTTTTAGAAAACTGTAATATGCAAATTGTAATCTATTTTAATTGTATGTATGTATGTTCATTTTGAATTTGTACCTTGAATGATCTATTAGTTACTTTTCGTGGTACATATTCAACATAGAAAATATACTTTATGTATGTTGCAGTTATTTTCTAGAACACTGTAATATTTTTATTGTAATCTGTTTGACTTATATGTAGGTATGTTCATTTTGAAT